AAAGTTGTTTTATTTCAGCGGCTGGTCGACGCGGCGCAGCGCGTGTGTACTTCTTTCGTTGACGGACAAGAGAGACTTTCAATACATACAATTTGATCGTGAACAGATTCGACTTTCGATGATCAATGTTTGTTTGAAATTGGAGTGATAGAACATATAACATGTCCTGTTTGGTTTGCATACTGCTTGCATATTTGCTTAAAATATATGAAAACGCCCTCCCCTAAAAGTCAATGGTTATACATCCAAAATACGGAAAGTTAAGTGATTTTATTTACCTAACAATCAAATAAATCCTAAATAACAAAACAAAAAAATCGGAGTTTTTGTTTCGGTTATCATTCGTATTTAAAAAATAATAATATCGAATTGATTATGAGTTTGAGATGCAGTTTGACTTTGATTTAGGTATTTTAGTTAAGAAAGTTAATCTAGGTTATATTGAAAGGTATTAATTGTTTTTTCTAGTTTCCTATATAGAAGATAAAGACTCCTGTTCAAATATATTGTGGTAACCACAGGCAACTACGGAACCATCTGATGCGCGTGGCACGACACGCACTTGGCCGGTTTTATTGATGTAAGTATGATACTAACGGCCGCCCGCGACTTCATCCGCCTTAACTTTGTAACTTAAAAATTTCTTTGAAAATCCATCCTAAAAATCCGGAATAAAAAGTATCCTACGTCTCAATCCAGGTAATCCTTCTAATAAGTATTTTAAAAGTGAGTTTTTATGTTTGTTATTCAATCACGCATAAACTACTGGGCGGATTTGGATGAAAGTTCGTAAGTATGCATAACTAACTCTATATCAATTTACATCGCTTTAAAATAAAATAAGCCCGTGCAAAGCTGGGACGCAACTAAAAAGCATCCGATTCTTTTGAGTTCATATTCTGAATTTTGTTTATTTTGTTTAACTGCTTTTGCCGTTTGGTTGCCATTTTTTTATAATCTTCCCGTCAGTTTTATAATTTACCCAGTGATTAATAGCTGCTTTATAACACTGGAGGAATATTTCATTACTTCGATGTAGAGTTATTATAATAAAACTTTATGCATATGTGGTATGTATTTTTTATAGATAACTCTATGCCTAAACTGACTTACTGCATTTACTGATCATTAATTCGGGGACCGAAAAAATTATATTTCTACCCAGGTATCTTATCAATAACTTGCCCTGTAAAAGCTCTTTTGAATCATCCAATATTTTTGAAGTGAAAACTTCTTCTATAATAATAAGTCTCTATCTAGGACGTAAAGGTGGCAGCTTTATTGCGAAGAAAATGCATTTTTTTTACAATAGATGTGGCTAGGTGCGCTTAAATGTGATTCATGTAAGTTGATTTTTCTGAGAGATAAACTTTTTAATGTAATATAAATTGTCATGTGTACGATAGCTTAATAAATGTATTCTATCACATAAATGATACTACTTTTATGCTGATATTAAGGCAATTCGTGCAAAATTATTCCCTAACCATTCCAAAATATCAAAAATGCACAACGTTTATATTCAAGTTTTCACTTCTGTTTCCGTCGTTTTTTTTCCTACCATTCTTCAGGACATCTTTTAGCTGATAAGAAGAATGGGGGCAAATTTAGCATTTAACAGAAGTATAGTAAGTAAGTATAGTAGTATAAGTATTTATATAAAATGATTTTATATTGCGACATGTTATTGCATAAATGTAATTGCAACTAGTCGCAATGATGCTTATGATGCCCGTCCTAAGCCTAGGTATAGACGTTTGATGTTTTGCGATATCAGAGTACGTATCACACGTTCCATTGCGACCTTGATAATAACTATTGCTCTGGAATCTTATTTATTGCCCATCGACTGAAATTCCAAAAGATTTCGTTTTAATCTCCTGTAAGTGTTATTTCACTGTAATCTTCTTTAAGGTGTAAGTTCTCCCCAGACAGAGGCTCTACTGCGAGTGGAATTGTTTCGTAAATAAGTACCTTCTTAAATAGAAATTAGTGTTTTAATTTCAATGACAAGAATTTTATTTGTGGACCTGTATTACAGTACATAAAGATCATGGAATGAAAATAGAGATTCCAAGAGACAATAAAAAATAATTAACAATAGCTGTGTACACAAAGAGTCTCATCACAGTGAAAAGATGCGCCCAGCTTACATCTCCACTTTAATTTAATATTTATCTTTATTAAATTCCTTTCTTGAAATTCTAACTAACCTCTGTAGATAAAGCAGTAAAATAGATTCAATTTTTCAGGACAAATTTTTGAGTTAGATATAGTTAGTGACGCTTTCGCTTTTAAATAGTACTTTGCTCCCTCAGTAATCAATTTACTATTGTTTATGTTCTAGGTATCTATACAATATTAAAGGGCCTTTTTTTATCACAGAATATCGAACAAGTTGTTACGTACCTTAGTAAACAGCAAGTTAACTTAAATATGAGCTATGACATAAGAAGGTAGCTAAACAAAACAATCTTATTTAATAAACAAGTAGACGCAAAGTTTACTAGTAGATAATGATAATCCTAATAAAATAAACAGGGCCAGCGGCAGTTGGACTTCTTATCTCGAGTGCAAGCCACTAGAGCGAGAAACGAGTACTTCCTATTATTCCGAAAGGGGCATGGACAATATAAAGGATGGCGGGCTTAGGTTATGAGACCCGCTTATGAAGTAGGTAAAACTATTTGAGCTAATAATATGCTTCTTCTAAGGAAAAAGTAAATATGTAACTCATTCAGACTTTCTCGTATTTAATTATTTTGCTGTTTCAAATTGTGCACATTATTCGCTAATATATAAAGTATTATTCAGTACTTCTGATATGTAATATAAAGTTATATGTAATCTCAGATTACAGAACAAAAAGAACCTTTTGTTCTGCAATCTGAGCATGTAATAATATTAAATGGGGTGTAGTCAAAATTAAAGTAACGACCGTACCCAAAGTCGGCAATTAAGTTTTGAGCTAAATTAAAGATGACGCTTTCTGTTTAATTATTTGCGATAGCAATAAAATAAGACAACGCGTAACTTTGACAAGCATTAAAAATTTAACTATCTGATATTAGGATGGCGCCATTCAATAATAAACAAAATGCGACTTTCATTAATTCGGATTTTTTTTTTAATTGGAATACGTTAGTACGTAAATCGGTTAAAATTATAAATGGAAACCTCTATACCAATAACTAAAAGAAAATTTATGATTGCGCAAAATCTGATTCGTGTCACGATTTTCATGTGATGTTAAATTTAAAAACTTTATAACACAAATAAAAACCGACTTAATAAAAACAAAACCACAGAAAATTAAGAAATAATACATTTTCTTTACTTACGTATAAAGTAAAAGAAACTCCGATCTAACAGACAAATATAGATGTCTGGCCTGTAATCTCTCCTTCATGTTTCGTAAAATAACAAAAAAAATGTATTGTATACTGTTTGTATTTGAGAAGTTCCGTTGTTTATCTCTAAAAGTATTTATTTATAAATCGTCGCCAATTAATATGGGACCATCTCGTTTAACTCCCTCAAATACACAAAAAACATCAAAATCGCTCAACAAAACTTGGGAGTTACGCGCGAATAATAAAATATATATATATATATATAAAGGAGATTGCTCAAATTGGCCTAAATGCACAAAAAATATTGACATACACGGTAATTCTTGGCGTAATTTATAATTTAATTTACAGTCATTAGATTTCAACGGACACCTTTGTATAATATATTTACTTTAAAGAGGACTTTTAATTTTACAGGTTTGGAAAACATACGAATAATTTTTAATAGCTATGGGTGTAGTACATTTCAACAACATTCAGCCAAAGACTGATCGAAGTTGTTTATATAACATAAAAATAAATCTATTTTGTAAAGATCGATAAAAAAAAACATATTTTTTATTACACTGCGGTATTAATATCCACAACTATATTATCATTTTCACTAGATGCAAATGTGCTCAGACAATTATTATAGATGGTAGGCGACATCATAAAGTCTATTACCATACATTTTTCGCCAAACACCTCCATAAGCACATTATAATCTGTATATATAAAAAAAATATATATGTTAGAGTTTAAGGTATCTATCTATGGGCCTACGTTCCCTGACTATAAATTAATAATTAAATAAAATTATAAGGTGTGATACACTAGAAGTCTCAAATATGGTTATCTTAAAAACACAACAAAAATAATGAAGCTACTGAATATATGGCTATAGAACCTAAATCTCTTAGCTTTCTTTGGTTAACGAGAGTTTAAAAATTCTTTCTAATCTGTGGCTCATCCACAATCATCACACAGTTTCTGTCACAGAGTACCTTATTATAACCGGAAATGACACCTGATTTTAAAAGTTACTCTTATGCATTAACTTTAAAAACAGGCACCTATCTGTTAATCTACATGCTCTATATACCTGAATCTAATCCATAATTTCGGTACTTGGCTTGATTTCCCTAGTTTACTATATAACTTATTTGTTTTTTATTAATTTAATATGTTCAGTGTATATGGTTTATAGAAGTTCTCAGGGGTGTCCGTCAATAATATTCGTGTCTACAGTAATTTATATATAATTTCGAATCTAGGAAACAATTTTTCATGATTATTGGTCTTTAGGCCAAACATGTATGGAAGCTGAGCAATCTCCTTTGATATCAGTTAATAAACAAGCTTAGCGTAAGTAATGGTTAATAGAAATTAAAAAAATACGTAAAGCCTAATTTCATAACTTAATACCCTTTCAGATTTCGTAGTACCTATAAAAGCCACGCTTGTGAAAGTAAGCGAAGGAGCAAATCCGCCGTAGTCGCACCGTAGCGCATCGGTCGTAGAAAACTTTTCAAATTTTAAAAGATTAATTTTGTCCTACACAGATTTACTTATGTCGTAACTTGAAGTAAATTAAATAGGGTAAATTTGTCTAAAATTGATTTAGGAGTTGGTAAATTATAAAATAGCAATTTAAAGTATACTTACAGCCATCGAATTCCTTTGGTAGAGTTCGGTAAAAACACAAAAAACAAAATCAAAAATAAAACGAAACAGCGCATCACAGCAAATTAAAAACAAAGCTGCCTGATTCTTTAGCACTGGCTTTAAAAAAAATTAACTTGTAATAAAATTGCGCGCGAACTGTTTTGGCGGGAGAAGTGTTGCGTGCGGGGTCGAGAGACGCGATGAACGAGATGCGGGTGAGCCCCGAGCTGCGTTCGCGAGAGAATGCCTGCGACCACCGCCGCCGCTCGCGGCCAGTGGTCAGGCGGGCCATCGCGCGCCGCCCGCCGCCTCCGCCGCCACTACCAATGACCCGTCAAAGATTAACAATTTCTCGAAGGCTATTTGACATATAAAATAGCCGGTGATGAAAAGCAATTTTTTTGTTTTAATAAAATAAATATAAAGTCAAATTCCTAGTTATGCGCTGCGACTGCGCTACTGAACCTAACAGAACATCAAATATAATTTTACGGTGCCATTATAAAATTTTATTTTTTAGGGTTCCGTACCTCAATAGGAAAAACGAAACGCAGGGATCACTTTATTTTCAGCCTCACGAACGCGTGATGGTATCGAATTAAAAATTTAACCACTTTAGTCTCAGGTCCAAGTTAACTGTAAAAAAACTTACTTAACGTAAAAAAAGAAACGGTCGTTTATGTTGCGTACCTCCAAATTTGTTCGGAAACCTCGGTGGGCAAGTCCAACTTGCACTTGTCCGCCTTCTTAAACTTAAGGTGTGTAATGTAATTATGCAATGAAACTCCAAAGAAAGTTGTTTTTAAGTACCTACCTATTTAGTCCTAATTGTTATTGTTCTTTTCCAATTTATGACTAACATAGACTATTAGTCATTCACCTAACAATAAAATGTTTCTCTTTCTCTAACGAACGAACCAAAGAAATAGAGGCCTGTCCCGTCTGCTGCCTGGTCCACGTGGATTTTTTTCTAGTATTTTTTTTAGATTCAATCAAATAGATGAAAAGTTATTTTACAAGATATTCACAAAGTGTATCAATGACCTTTAAATAGTGTATCAACATATTTTTCTCCGAGAGACTAGCGTGTCGTAGGCAAATAACTCGAAGCCCTGCATGTAGCAACCCCCGGCCGCATGACGGCGCAGGCGGGCGGGCGGCGCGCTCCCCACGCGATCCTGCGGTACAACCCACTTATCAATTCACTCGAGTGGGCATTCATTCATTGTGAAGCATTGTGTCTAATGTCTATTATGCTCGGATTCGGTGCTTATTTACCCGTTCACTGCTCTGCTACTCTGATTTTGTGAACTGTGTCTAACTTTTTGTGTAGAAAATTATTATTAGGATTAGGATTTTATTATCCGAGAAATAAAACAGTTAACATAAAGTTTTTATTGCATTTATTAATTAATAAAAATCTTAAATATTCGTAGATATTTCAATACATTTTATTCATTCATATTGCATATTGCTCATTTACGTTCCTGTGGCAGTTCAACAACAATCAATTAAGGCAATAAGTCAGTTAGCTAATTGAGAACAGCAAAATAATGCATAACCTTCCTTTTGAATTCGGGAATTGTCCGAAATTACACTTAAAACTACATATTCTTAAACACAACAACGGCTCGATTCCACTGTTCACTCTTGACATCGATGTGTCAGTCAAAAACTAGGTATTGCTATTAGCTTATAAAACCACTTATAAGACTGCTTGAAAGTGGATATCGATGCTAATAAATGAGGTGTCTAAAATTTCCTCAGAATTATTCATTTAATATTAAGTTGCAACAGAATCGAGCCTAGTCTTAGCCAGCTTAATGGTAGCATAAATGACAATGACACACTGAATTTTTTCAATGCAAATCAAACACATAGTTTCAAGTACGCTAACTGTAAACCCACGGTCGTACCTAGAGACGTAAATAAAATCAATACTTGTCTAAGTGACGTGTTGTCGTTACCCACTGCTTTACATCACAAAATTACAAAGAAAGTGAGTTTCACATTTAAACTTACTTAAAATTAAACTAAGTCTCTGAGCTTGGTCGTCACTGTATTAATAATCGAATACATTTTTAAGGTTCTTTGAATTGAATTTTAATTCTGTCCGCGTCATCGATGCTATCTTTAAGGTTTACAAACAAAGGTCAACCATAATGATGGATTAGTACCTACGTTCCTCATCATAGTATTCAACATCAGCTACGCCAATTAAAGTAGTGGATTATATCAATATACCTTCTCATCCGTTATTAGATTGACAAAATAAAATTCTTCCCAATAAAATATACGTAAATACCCCTTTCAGCTGCGCATTTAGTTCATATAGAAACAGTCTTGAAAAATAGTAAAAATCACATCGGTATAAACAATTTGACATTGACAGTACCTTATTACGTATCAACAAAAGTGGTATTCGTAGTGCAAGTGCCATTCATTGTAATGTTTTGAAAGGTGGGATATTATACTGAGGGTTTTCTTCAAGTAAGGAATATTGGGGGCTTGCAACAGAGCTCTAATAGGCCTAACCATACTGGAGGTTGATTACAAGGATTTATTAAGAAGTGCAGAGCGTAGTTATTGTGACTTCTTCCTGGTGTACTGTTTGACGAGGGCGAGGCTAAAGGTGCGCGGCTGTCAGGCGAGGTGCGACAGGTCGTCGAGCTCGGGAGTACCATGCGCGAACAATTTGGAATACTTGGGGCTTGCAACAAAGCTCTAATAGGCCTATCCTTACTGGAGGTTGATTAGTTTATAAAGGAGTGCTAAACGTTGTTATTGTGACTTTTTCCTAGTGTACTGTTTGACGAGGGCGAGGCTGAAGGTGCGCGGCTGTCAGGCGAGGTGCGACAGGTCGTCTAGGTCGGGAGTACCGTGCGCGAACAATTTGGAATACTTGGGGCTTGCAACAAAGCTATTAGTTTATAAAGGAGTGCAAAGCGTTGTTATTGTGACTTTTTCCTAGTGTACTGTTTGACGAGGGCGAGGCTGAAGGTGCGTGGCTGTCAGGCGAGGTGCGACAGGTCGTCGAGCTCAGGCGGCGGCTGGTGCGGCGGCTGTGGCGTACCGCGAGCGAATACGGGCTTCGCTACTACCGACACTGGAGCCTGCCACACGATAACAATTCGGAAATTTAAAAATTAAAATATCGGTTATTTAATTACGGCTATTACAAGAACTCCTGTCCGCGTAGCATGAGCACCACAAATTAAAATTTTATCACGTTTTTTATCGCGTTTAACTGTCAAAATCCATAATAATTTGACAATTGAGCGTGATAAAAACGCGTTATAATAACGTTAAAGCTCGGGGAACCAGCCCCCCTTGCATGAGCACCACGATATGATATATAACGCGTGTTTATCACACTCAATTGTCAATTTACTATGCAGTTGGACGGTTAGACGTGATAAAAAAATTGTGTGTGTCAGCTCCGACGCACGACTGGAGTTTAGTCCTTAAGTTCGATAGTCTTACCAGACGCAAAAAGAGTTTATTAAACTTAAAATAGATTGATACTGTATGAAAGGGTAAATTAACAAATTAATGAAAATAATATACATATATAAATATATATTTATTCATTTCATATACATTTATTATAACTAATCGACGAAATATTTTACATTAAACTTTTTACAATAGTCAATTTCAGATGTGCATAAATATATCATTAGGAATGTTGATAAATTATGTAATTATTATTATCAGACTATTATCATTTTTTTAAATATTAATTAAATCAGCATTGTCTGCATTATTAATTACAGTGACAATGACAAGTGGTTTATGGTAATTAAAATAAGACACATGGACGTTCGTAGATACGTGGTTCACGAATCTTGAAAATACCGCATCAATGGTTGTACCATACCTCGTTGTCCCCATTGCTCTATCAGAAACAATATCTTAATTCAGTTCAGATTTTAAAAAATTTATTATGAAATGAAATGAAATGAAATGAAATGAAATGAAATGAAATGTCATTTATTCAGTCTAGGCTGTTACAAGCACTTGTGAAGGTCAAGAAGCTACGCCATCGGTTCGCAAAACTACGGCGGGAGACCTTGTACTGAGAAGAACCGGCAAGAAACTCAGCAAGGGCTGTTTTTTTCTCCCTGTATTGTTATATACAGTGTCGTCAATTTGAAAAATTACTTCAGAAATACGTCTGAAGTCACTTTCCATTACATCATCTAGAATATAAATAGTTACAATTAATTTTATAGTTAACATTTTAAGTAGTATATAGGAAGCGGCATTAGATAGGTACAATATTACTGTTATGAAAAATGAGTAATACCCATTTAATATCAAATTATAAGAAACACTATGTCCATGCATTACGATCATTTAGATAATCATCAACTTTATAATAGCCCTTATTCATAAGAGTATTTTTGATCTGAGATTTAAATTTAGTCAGTGGAAGCTCAATCAGATCTTGGGGAACTTTGTTAAACAATGCAATACTACAACCCAGAAATGAACCTCTTGATTTTTGGAGTCTGAAACATGGAACGGCAAGCTTGTTCTTAAATCTAGTGTTAAAGTTATGGGTTTGACTTTTTTTTGCAAATTCATCATAGTTTTTTCTTACATATATTAAATTTTCATAAATGTATTGCGACGCCAGTGTTAAAATATTAATTTCTTTAAATTTTTCTCTAAGGGATTCTCTTGCCTTTAAATTGTATATGGCGCGAACAGCTCTCTTTTGCAGTATGAAAATACTTTCGATATTAGCGGCTGAGCCCCACAACAAAAGGCCATATGACATAACACTGTGAAAGTAACCAAAGTAAACTAATCTTGCCGTTTCCACATCAGTTAAGAGTCTTATCTTTTTAACAGCGAAAGCTGCAGAGCTCAATCTACTTGACAAGGCATCAATATGAGGATCCCATTGCAGACGAGAGTCTAAAGTAATACCCAGAAACTTTGTAAAATCCACTAACTCTACAGGCTGGTCATTTATTTTTATACTAGTATTAACCTGCATCACATTAGGTAGAGTAAACTTAACGCATTTTGTTTTACTGGAGTTAAGTTTTAAATTATTTACCGTAAACCAGTGAAGGACTTCAGAGAGAGCACAATTTACTTCGTCATAACAATCATTTCCTCTTCTAGCTTTAAACAATAAAGAGGTGTCATCAGCAAATAGTACTGTCTCACACAAATCTCTTGTAAAGTGAGGAAGGTCATTGATATAAATAAGGAAAAGCAATGGGCCCAATATTGAACCCTGGGGCACGCCCATAGAAATGGGTGCTCCTGTAGACTCAGCTTCATTTATAACTACTTTTTGAATCCTAGCAGAAAGATAAGACTGTATCAGACTTAGTGAAATATTTGATACACCATAATGCTTCATTTTATTTAACAATGTTTCATGGCTAACGCAGTCAAACGCCCTTGATAAGTCGCAAAAAATGCCAATAGCATCGTGCTTACTCTCCCATATATCAAAGATGTGTTTGAGAAGTGCAGTTCCAGCATCAGTAGTACTTTTGCCTCTAGTGAAACCAAACTGTTTTAAATGAAATAGCTTATTTATAGAAAAGTGTGCTAGTAATTGGTTATAAATTATTTTCTCAAATACTTTACTTAGCGCTGGTAATACAGATATAGGCCTAAAATTGCTGGGATCTGATTTGTCACCAGCCTTAAAGAGAGGGATAACTTTAGCACATTTCATTAGATCTGGAAACACTCCCTCATCAATACATTTGTTAAATATAATGGCCAGTTGTGGCGCAATAACAGTGATAATCGGTTTTATTATATATGTTGATATTCCCCAATAATCCTCTGTCTTTTTAATTTTAATTGAGTTAAAAGTTTTTATAATACAGTCACTACTGATATGTCTAAAATGAAAATCATTACTGCACTTATCAACACTTGACTCAAGGAGGGTCATTGCTAACCTAGAACAAGAATTAAGATTTCTAGTTGTTTCAAATGGTGCACTAGAAAAGAAATTTTCAAAAGTGTTTGCAACGGCATCATCTGTCCTAATAATCTTATTGTCTATTTTTAAAGAATATGTGTGTTCATTAAATTTATTTCTTCCAGTTTCATTATTAATTATATTCCAAGTTGTCTTTATTTTATTATCGGAAAGACTAATTTTTTTTGATAAAAACTTAGCTTTTGCTATGGCACACACCTTTTTAAAAGTTTTTGAATAGTTTTTGACATATTCTATAAACTTAGGATCAGATGAGGTTGCCTTGAGAGCATATAATTCATACAACTTATTTCTACTTTTGTAAATACCCGGTGTGGCCCAATCACTAAATTTCTTTTTAAAGCTATGGCATTTAATAACTTTGCGTTTGAATATTATATTAAATTCATCTTTAATTAAATTGAATAAATCTTCATACAAAATATTATTATTACTATAAACTGGTAAGTACGATATTTTGTGATAAACGCTATCTTGAAATTTATTTATACCCGTTTGTGTAATTGGTCTACAAGTTAGGTCATGTTTGGGTGAAACATGATGGTGTTCAATAGAGGCTAATTGTCCGCTATGATCAGAATTAATACAATTTATTATTGATTTATTAAAAACATTTCTATTACAAAAAATATTATCTAAACAGGTCGCTGATGCATGTGTGATGCGGGTAGGCTCAAAGAAGGTATGCTCCAAGTTATATGATTTAAATAAGTTTAGAAACCTACTCACTAATGGACACTTAACTAAAATGTTTATATTAAAATCACCACACACAACAACCACTTTATTACATCTACATACTATATTGAAAGCATCTTCCATAGCAGACTCAAATTGAGTGTAATTCCCAGATGGGGGCCGATATACACATATTATGATCAGTTCTTCAAGTTCCACACAAGATATTTCTATATTACGTTCAACTGAAAGTGTAACAATATCTGTACGTTCTTTGTATTTAAGATTGTTCTGTAAGATTATGAGAGAGCCTCCCCTGATAGCCGATTTCCTACAAAAACTACTAACAACTGTATAATTATCTAAGCCTGTAACTAATTCATAATCTCTGAGCCAGTGCTCTGTAATACATAAAATGTTTATATTCATTGTATTTAAAAATAAGCATAGTTCTAAGTCTTTACCAGAAAAGCCTTGTATATTTTGGTGAACAATATTTAGAAATTTAGACTTTTCCTTGGTCATGATATAGCTAGAGAGCTCCTCTGTTGTCTTACGAACTAATTTAAATTACAATTAATGTCAGTATTTGGAACAAATTCCAAAGTCTGATCCACATAATTATGCTGCTCAATAGAAGCAGTAGTGTTAGCCAAGTTTTTGGCTATGTGTGTAAAATAAAATAATAGCGAAGAAGCTATTTGTCTATTATGGTAATATGAAAGATAATATTTATCTCTTGTCATTTTAAAATTATATATTAATTTATTTATATCAATTAAATGTACTTTTTGACCACTATACTGAGACATGGTACTTAATGTCAAATTTAGCCTGTACCTAATATTATTTTCTTTACTTGATAGACTCTTACTATAAGGAAATGTATACAGAACTATTCTATTTACATTTAGAGAACACAAAGAGTTATAATAAGTCATAATGTCATTTTTGCCAACATTACCTCTATTACCAATTAAAATAATTAAACTTGTATTTTTGTCAAGTTCAAGAGTTAATATTTTCTTCATTAATTGGTGCATTGTGACACCTGGCAAACAATAATTAATTGTATTTTCACCCAGCTGTTTTTGTAGTAAGCAACCCAGATCTTTACCAAATTCGTCACATAACACCATATACCTATGAAAATTTCTCTGCTTAAAAAAATTACATGTAATTGTGGTCTCTGAGTGAACAGATTTATTAATCAAGGACTCACATACTGGATCAGTGTCATTTTCTTCATTAATGCTCTGATTCGATACCAAAGAGTGACACTTTACAGGTGTGTCTTCGTGAAGGGAGGTGTTAGATAGACACTTTAAGGCCAGAATGTATTCTTCTATCTGTTTTTTTGAGTTATTATAATTCTGTGTCATTTGAGATAACGATTGTTTAAGGGTTTTTAATTTAATGTTCAATGAATCCATATTTTGTTCATATGTTAATCTATTTTCTTCAATTATGGAACGGCAAGTATCTAATTTTTGTAGTAACTGTGTACGTTCTTTAACAAAGTCAATATTTTTATAAAATGTGTTTTCTTTATTTATAAGTTTCTTAGTTTTTAAAATATACCTTCTGACCTTAACATATCTTTTTAATTTGTTCTTACTAAGTTTAACAAGTCCATTCCCGGGAGAACACTGAAATGAACTGTCAGAATTGAAATCATTTACAAGAGTGTTAGTGTTACATTTAGAATTGATGGGCTGCTGGCACTGTATCAGAGGTCCTCCAGGTGATGCCATCAGTTCCTCAAAAAGACTTTGAGTATGTGCTGACTCTTGAAGCTGCTGTACTTCCATAAAATGTGCTATTTGCGTATTCGCTGCACTCAGCTCCTTTTCAAGGTCAGTGATGCGCTGCAGAGCCCTCTCATAAGTGTTGAATTGCTCATTATAGTGACTGATGGCATCATTTAAATTGTCTCGTTGTAGTAAGACTTCTACGTGTTCAGTATGAAGATGGGATAGTTTGCACTTAAGCTGAGTGTTCTTGTCTATGACCTTTCTAATCTCTTCTTCACTCTCCTCTCGTTCACGCAGTAGCTGACTACAAGTCTCCTTAGCATGCTTGAGTTCTTCAAGAGCATGCCTCAGTTGGAGCTCTGTGCATTGAGCTGCAGCTTTGCGGGTCATCATTGTTGTGATTGTATATTTAAAACCTGGAATGAGTTAGGAAATGTGAGTTTGGTTCAGAATTACTTAGTATTAATATATTTCATACTACACAATTGGCAAAGCTAAATGATTCGCAGAAACAGTTTTATTTTTATTGTTATTATATGAGGGTATATAATATAATCTTTCCTATCTTAATTGATAGAAAAACTAAATGAATAGTATTCAATATCTATTAATCTTTAGTACATAAGCACTCAATATTATTTTTGCATTAAATTTTCCTAACTGAATAAAGCAACAAGTATCTCAAGAACAGAACTCAAATAAGTGACTGAAGTCGGAAGCTGAGTAATATGTGTACTGTCTGTGTAATGTCAGTGTAAAATATAGTACAATGAATGACTGGAGCAACTTAGTCGTCACCATCAACTTCACTTCCAATTTTGTCAAGCAAAGAGAGGTATACTGTGGCTTTTCGTTTTGTAATGTGACGTTACTCACTAAGTATGTGAGTTTTGTTAAGTCGTTTGGTGAATGTCATATGTTTATTTGAGTGTGAACTAAGGAGAAACTTAATTGCTATGAAAGAAATGTCAGCAAAACATCAATTTACATATTAGCTTATTTAAAATAAGGAACAAATGTACTCCCCCGGTTTATAATGCAGTTATCCTTTGTCCTTCAGCTTTTCTAGTGAATAATTCTTGAACTTTGAAAATTTTTCTTCAGTTTGACAAGGCGGGTTCGTTACGATTTTGATTAAGCAATAATTCAAATATCAAGGATCCTATCCTTGGGAAAACGATACCACATAATATTTATAGCGTAATCTACACTGTGAAATAACTTTTACATAAATAAATCACGAAAAATTTAATTAAAATTAAATAATAAAACAGCTGATACACTTTGACAAGTTTACCGGGTGCGTTCCGAAACCTGCTTATGTCAATATGTCATCTTTGTTTGTCAAAGTTGCGCGACATAGGATGCGCACCAAAAACGTAACGAGGTCATTCATCGATAGATTTTACTCCTCATATTTTTCTCATACCGGGCCCCTTATATATGCATCTCGATTCTTAAGGAGTAAACTCCAAAAAACGTGATTTTATTTTATAAATGTTATATATGTATATGTCATAAAATATATATTGTGGTGCTCATGCTACGGGAAATGCTACGTCATCGATTGGCTCAACTTCTGCATTAGAACTTGCACATAGAAGAAACGGCAAGACACAATAGCTGTTTTTTCTCCGTTTTAAAAAGCATCTAGTTGAAAAATTACATCTTTATGTTTCATGAAGTCATTACTGCGTGGTTTCTGACGTTATCGGTTGCCGCGATTTCCTATATAGCCAACTGTCAAAGTAGCATAAGCTAATCTTTTTCTCATTAGCAAAATGAAACCGAACTCGACTTCGTTTTCGGCTGAACACGCCGCAGAGAGAAGTTTAACACCCACCATCTGGATGCTTAACGTTCTAGCATCATGCATTACGCGCGTTGTTTTTCCTTGCGTTTAAGCAAGACCTGGAACGAACCTCCCTCAGCGGTTTTCCCTTTTCACTAGCATACGACAGCAGGTAAACCTTTTCCTTCAGAGCCAGCTACGCGTGAGTGCCTTGGTGCTGCAAGTGTCCATAGGCGACAATGACCACTAACAATCAGGTGGACTGTCAGCTCATTTTCTGCATAAAAATAAAAGATGAAGAACCTGTTAGTAGTCAAAGTTATACTTTAGCCCTCCCCCTTTTTTTTAATACGCAGACAAAAAATCTTTTTACAGACGACGGACTTTAAAAGGCACTCCGCCGAACGGACCTCACACCTGGCTCTCGCAAGTCTTACAAACCCCCACAGTGGCTGCCCACTCAGGACCCCGTAACTCTTACGGGCGCTTTACGGTATAATATCCCCTAAAAACCTTGCGAATACCTTCAACGCTGCTCCATGCGAAGCCGCGGAGTCCCCGTCAGGGATTCTTCGTATCCGTATATAGGAATTTGTGTATGTGAGATACCGACCTGGCTAACGGCGCCGGGCTGCGAGGCCGGTGTTTGCGGCGGCATTCCCACCACGACCACTTTCTGCGGCGCCGCCCCCGCGTTCGGCCCGCTCGTCACCACCACCGACTACGAGAACATGCGCACACTGTAGCTCTCGCAAACAAACTCCAAAACGACCTCCGTGTAACCTTACATTACAGTCTATTTATCTATGAGAGTTTTCTTCTTTCACAAATCTTTGATTATATACACGCCTAGATAGAGCAATCTAAATAAACAACGCAAAGCAAACGGCTCATGTTACGCGCAATGTGTACTTAATACTTACTCTATTCTACGCGTTACGACGGCAGTCTTCCCTTCCTCTCATGTGTGGTTGTTAATGTGTGTGTATATGGATATGGTGTCAATGATACATACAGTTTCGTGGTAATACAATGTAATAGGGTCCCACAATTTATCACACATAACAATCCGGTCACATATTTATCGTATGTCGTGAATTATGTTTATTGATGAATATTTATAAAAGGTGTTGACTTATTACATTATGTTATTGTGTAATTTATTAAAGTGTGATGTAAATATTAAAGTTATATAAATGTTGTTAATCAAGTTTCAATAAAATTAGTTTTATGTATATGTAAATAAATATATTAAAGATACTAGGAGTTATATTAAGGCTCAGGTTCCTGCTCTCTCACTCTAACCCGCGGCACCGCTTAGACTACTTTAAATTATCACTTCTGTCGTGCGTCCCGAGACGCACACGCTTTTATTTTCAGCACTTCCGTGCAGTTAATGCGGTATCTAAGCATGTATATAATCAAAGGTTAAAGGCTTAATATAAATGATGTATTGTTAAATTATGTTACAGTTCGTTAAATGAATAATAAAAACATTAACAATATTATATTCTTTTTTTTTTTATATATGGATTTATTCTTTATTGCTACATTTTATCTTTGTGCAATATATAACTCTTTCTGAAATAAATAGACTATAGCTACAAACGTCATGCAACATTGACAAATTGCATACTAAAATACAATGGCGTGCCCATGATTCGGACTAGGGACAAGCCCGAAGCTCAAATTCAAATAGTACTTGTCTATCTATGTCTGCCTGCTGCATTTCTTGACCTTACAATTCAAAATAGTTTTGTATCAAAGACAAACTATTTTGTCAGTGTCACATACTTATTTTATCTTGATTTGTATACGACAATCACATGGCATAACACTGAAACCGCATCGCGGTGTGCGATAAAATACCTCTATGAATCTAATAGACCTTTACTATCCGAAGTCCTTTTTATATCATTACAAATGCACAAATTCAAAAGTAAATTGATTGTTGATGATGATGATGATTTTCCAGATAACGATTTCGTGCTTTAAGAGGGCTAGCCATTACAGTAACGCCAATGCGGAATAGGGTATTTGACAGTATTAAAAATAAAGTGCCAATTGTTAGCATCTGTATTTAGAATGCATATTGGCAGGAGTTTTTACTATTTTTACAGAAAAAATATTCATAATTTTACTAAAAACCCACGAAAAGATAATAGTTTTCTTGTCTTTTGTCACGTGACCCAAAACGCTTGGGATTGGTGAAGCCTAAAATTACGTCACACGCAAGTAAACTTCCGGTTAAAGTGACATTAAATTGTATGGTTTGACGTTTTAATAACAGTCGTGTGACGTTACACACCACTGAGACGCCATATTATCCAGAGATACGTTTTTGCGGCAACTTGAAAATAGAGATTTTGATTTAGTTTTTTTACCGAAATACACAACATAATGATGAATATCCACTTTTTATTGACTCTATAAACATTAGTAAATAACGTGATATCGTTTTCTAAAACTTGTCAAATACCCTATTACAGTTACTATCTTGTGTCTATTAAATAATTGCGTATCGAAAGGCCAAAATAGAATTCTCAAAAATTTGAAACAAGACAACAACCAAACTATCGCTACGATTTCATTTTATTCACTCACCCTCATTTTCTTTAATATTGTTAATACCAATGTAATAGAAAAAAAAGAGCGCGAGGTATTTGAAAACTTTCGGTGGTCAGAAAAAACAAAATGAAATCGTAAGCGATAGCGATAGCCATAGCAATCCCTTTAGGCGATTGACTCCCTGATCTAGCGCATTAAACCACTTTATATTTAAAAAGATATGATATTACCTTGAAAACATATAAATACTCAGTAAATAGATATATTTATGTTTAGAAAAAAAATGGTAACATATTATTTTATTGCAGTTTCATATTTATGAACTGTGGTAGAAGAAAATAAAAATATGCCCAGGACATGTTCGTCTAGATAACGGTAGATACCAGAGTCGATACTCAATGATGGAATTTAATACATATTTAAATGCATTTTACAATCATGCATTGATAAGTTCAACTAATATAAGAAGTCGGTAAGAATATAAGAAGGGTAGGTTTGTTACAAAGGTTTCATAAAATAGGTGATTTTATGAATATTAATATTTGGGGAGTAAACTTGGACTAGTTTAATATAAAATACAGCTTAAGCTAACTAGGAGTTAGGCTTATTCGTTATTTAAAAGGTGGTGCACCTCGGTTGATAAAATAAAGGAGGTAAAAGTATAAGAAGCACAAGATTTTGTACCAATAAGAAAGTATTAAGAAGCACCTACAAAATCGTTACATCCCAATACTTCCTGATGCATGTCACTACAATTCCACGTCCTATATCATGACCGTCATGCAAAAATGCTAATCAATTACAATGCAATCATATTCTAGTATCAAATATAATGCTCGAAAAAGAAAAAAAAATCTAATGTACAACGTTACCTGCACATTTTGACTGCGCACGATGGCTGGTTGTGAGCTGTGCACGACGATATGACCAGTACCGCTAGATGGCTGAGCCTACACATAATATTATTAGATAGGTAGTAAATAAATATAAACGGTCTTAATAAAAAAAAGTTAGACGCAGTTTCAAACCTTGTTTAGGCAACTTTTGCATGACATTTATTCTTAAACGCGTGTTGAACGCATGTCTAAATTTTTTGTAGTAATAAGAATAAAGTGTAGGTAAATCATAATAAAGTCCGGTCAATTTAGACATTCGAAGGTGCATAAATTCTTTTTAAGCTGAAAGTGAGTACAATTGTTCAAAACATAATTAAAAATAACATTTTTAATAAACAACTGGGGTTGGAAGTTGGTCGAAAATACATTAGAACCAATTCGGACTTTACTCCTACCTGTACCGGAAAATCTGTTAAACACAATTTTTTGCAACTGTAAAAAGGGATGCAGTGCTAACACACCACATGTGTTTGTTCTCTGGTATGTACGAATTGTCAAGGCCAGTCGTGTTATAATGTGGAAACGCCAACAGTAGAGGATTCGTCTGCTACTGACGCAATTCAGTCGCATTCAAGGATGTAGTAATTCAAGATGAATCGTACGAATAACTTTTACTACTGTTATTTAATTTCCATCGCTTTTATCACTTCCAATCCTTGCTTATAATTGTTAATTTACTGTTAAAAAAAGCGCTAAGTACACTACCTCAGACGTGGCGTGGAAACCTGTGCATATTATTATGAGGCTTACAACTTTGAATCACTATATACTAAGGAACGGTGGCTCTTAGGAAAAAGAATATTTACCTTTATTAAAGATAATTTTATGATCTACATTTTTTGTCTAATGTGATTTTACGATAATACTGACCGTTCTGATGAAAATGGCGTAAAACCCCTTTTTTTACTTTTGACCTCGAGTAGGTACTTTTTTTCCATGTACCGGAACGATGGGGAATTTTGATATGTTATTTTTAATTTTGAACAATTGTACTGACTTTCAGCTTGATGGGAATTTATGCACCTTCACTCTCATTTTTCTGTCTAATGTATTTTCAGAGTAATTAAAATAAAAAACCAATTGTAGGCGTCTGTATTTGAAATGAACATTAGCAGCGATTTATTACAAAATCATAAATAAAAAAATACGAAATAGAAAATAGTATTTTTTTACTATTGTCACCGAGAACGCCTAACATTGGTAGAGCCTAAAATAACGTAACATATAAGTAAATTTCCGGTCAAAGTAAAATTTTTGTACCGTTTGACGTTTAAATATCAGCCGTGTGACGTTACACACAGGTAAATCTCCTTAATACCCAGAGAAACTATTCAACGGCATATTGGAAAGCAGATTTTTTTTTATCACACAACAGGATAAATAATCACGTTTTATGGATTCCAAGCACAAGTTCATAACGTAAGATCGTTTTTAAAAAGTTATGAAATATCCTAAAATAAAAATAAAATGTTCAGACCAGATATAACATTTCTTTGTAATCTGAAAGACAGGAGCTCAGTGCAGCCGTTAAAGTGTTCTTTCTAACTTAGATTGTGATTTTAAGCAACTTTCGCAATAACTAGTCATCGGATCGAACGAAAAAAATAGGACGAAAATTCTGTTTCTAGAGCTTTTCCGAGTGAAGAACATTTAGCTGTTGATCCTGCGCCCGTACTCAAATTTAACTTTCGCTATATCACTCGATCGTCTATCCTACTTTAAGTTACAAAAAAAAATAATAAGATAGAGTACAGAAAACCCTCACACAACGAACGAACAACATCGATTTAATGATTCTGGCCAGAGGGCATCAACCAGAGGGTCGATTCTGTAGTAGTTAGTACCCAGCACTTGGCACTGGGCCTTGGCCCGTGCTTTCTATTTGAAGCGTAGATATTGACCCAGCAACGAGAATACTAATATACTGATGATGATTGTTATCGTCATAGTGCGATTCAAAATGTTGGCGGTTGTGAAGTTAGCAGCGAGCGTAACTATACGCAAGTTTCAGTTGAGTGACATCCCAGTTACGCCTATAACACCCTACATTGAATTTACTGCGTCGCGACTTGCGCCAACTTAACAGCAGCCATTAAGTTTGAATCGCACATTACCTGTGGCGGTTTCTGCTGCGAGGCGACTATGACGAACTTCTGTGGCGGAGGCGTCGCCGGCGCTGGACTGTGCGGCGCGGGGGACGCTATCACCACATTACGAGTTGCCACGGTTTCTGAGTCACATTACCAACTTTTTTTAATTTGTAATTAATATTCTCTCTACCTGCCCTACCCGAGACTCGGCATGAAGATAGATAGTCAATATAAGTAAGTGCGCAAGTCCGCAAATCCTGATACTTAGTTTTTCTAGTCGTTAATAAAATTAAGCCCCGTGTTGCTTTTTCTATTATTATTGCAAAGGTGTTCATAAATAGCTCCTACTAGCGACCAGACGTGACGACGTGCGACGGAAAAGCGAACCACATCAGTCATGCAACCCCACCATTGTTGCAATTACTACAGGACGGGACGAGATGGCGCTGTATATCACTATAAAAGCTAACGCACGAATCCTCTCTTTATCGACATACATCTGTTGAATATTAGTCGTATATAGCCGGGAAGTTGTTTTATTTCCTTCAAAAAACAAAATATACACAAGGATAGTGGCAGAACCAAATGGCCGGCGTCGTCGGTCGTCTGCATAGAATAATTGGTTTATCATACAAACTGAAATCCCCTATTTAAATTTCATTTTCGCAACAAAAACAAAAATCTGTATTTTTACTAGATCCCCATTATCTTCTCTACCAAAATTCATCAAAATCAGTCCAGTAAAAGGAACAAAGAATGGTCTCATATATAGATTGTAGTACCTATCCGCTGGCCCACCCTCTATCCCCCTTATTAATACGAAGAATAAGCTTGGATAAGTTACTCTATGTTTTGTCTCTGTCTATTGAATGACAAATGGCTATTGAATGATATGAACAAAACACGGTGTAGCACCGCATTTATTAGTAAGGGGGTATGTGTATGGTAACGTTCAACTCACCTGGTTTGGAGACGTGCATCGAAGACACAGGCGGCGCGGACGCGGGCACTAACGGCGGGGTGCAAGTGACCACTGCCACTGCAGTACCGCTGCCTCCACTGCCTGAAGGGGACGAACGCAACTTGCTAACCATCTGCTGCAAGCTGGGCCCTAAATACCCGTAGTCCCGCCTATGAATAAACACTAGAATAAGTGATCTTCGTTATAACTAGCATTTTAGGCAATAGCTTTATTTTGAGCTTGTTTTACATATAGAAAGAATATAGATTCAAGTGACCACCGCTAACGCAGTACCGCTGCCTGAAGGGGACGAACGCAACTTGCTGACCATCTGCTGCAAGCTGGTCCCTTAGTACCCGTAGTCCCGCCTATGGATAAACACTAGAAGGTGTTCTTTGTTATAATTAGCATTTTCGGCAGTAGCTATACTTGGAGCCTGTTTAGCATTTAGACATAGAAAGAATATAGATTCTATTGACCACCGCCACGGTAGTACGGTTGCCTGAAGAGGACGAACGCAACTTGCTGACCATCCGCTGCAAGCTCGGTCCTAAATACCCGTAGTCCCGCCTATGGATAAATACTAGAATAAGTGATCTTCGTTATAACTAGCATTTTCGTCAGTAAGTACAGTCACGTTCTTTACCTTCAGATCAACCTAAGGTTGAATATCGGACAACAAAAGGACATCATAAGAGCAAAGGACATTGTTCAGCGTCCATACATAGTTAGCCTAAAAACCAACAATCATGAAATATTATTTTCTAGGTTCGAAATCGTAAGTAAATGACTGTAAAAACAAAGATTATTGACGGACACTTCTGAGAACTTAAATTATTAGGAAAACAATTTTTTTTTTTTGAATTTATGTTAATATTCAACGAAACATAGGTCAACCTATGAACTTAGTATGAAGTGAATTAATATTACTAATTCATTTTATTCGGTGCTATTGTAAAGAATAACTATTAGGAAAAACTTGGTTCGGTAGGAATCATGAATAAAATAAAAACTGTAGTTTTGCTTCTTATTTATTGACTATTTTTCACATAATTGTATCATATTGTATATTGTATTTATTTGTATATCACATGTATATTGTGTACATATGCAGCGTGAATGTGTATCAGGTGTTCTTGAATAATTTGGCAGTACGATCCTCTCAGGATGTTGTTGCATAGGTTCACTAGCACTTGGTAATAAGGGGCTAAGGCTTAGACGAAGAAAAGTGCTAAGGGCTCTGCTCTTTGGTTTTTTTTTAACTACTCTTTGGAATGCACGAATGCCACAGATTACTACGAATGCAAACTGCATGCACCACAACCACAGAGTAACGAGTTTTATGCCGACCCTTCACTTGACAACAGTTTGTCCTTGTCATGCTTATTAAGAGCCTTTTCACATTTTTTGCAATAAATCGCAATTTTTGAGCGCCTCTTTTGCCCCCTTAGAAGAGGTTTTGACTACTTCCAATAGAAGTAAACAGTAAATTTATTCTTCTTATTGAAAATTAATGTAGAATATTTGCAAATACTATTTTCATTTTTTTGTACTGATCGTTCTACTGCAGCTAGTTTACGGAAAAAACGATAATATGAACACCTTAAAACGCCTAAATCTCACAATAATGTTCAATAAATTAGATCAAATTAATTACTACTACATCAGAAATATGTTTTTGTTGCAACATAATGTATTAGAATCTTGATTTTCCATCTCATTAATTATTAAAAAAACATCTAACCTCCGTGAGTTGCCCCAAAAAATAACGCAGATTTACCTCGTATTTTGATATTGAATTAAATAGAATTACTATAAAAAACTGTCATAAAACTAATCTACAATCATTGAACTATTGAAATATGTATATATTTTTATAATAAGTTCATTAATTATTATTTTATAAGACTCTGAACATCACCCGTAAAATGCAATATATACTAGTGCAAATCTAGGCGCCGTTCAGTACGGCGCCAGCGCCTTTGGAGGATGGACCTGTGTCGCTTTGTACCGCACGCGTCCCGAGCGATGCTACGAGTGCATTCATCGTAAAACTGGCTGGATATACTACGACCGCAAAACTTTAATCGTTGACTGTATGTAAGTTTCCACAACCGTATTAATTTTTATTATAATAAGTACCTCCCTAGTTATTAATTATCGTTGCTTCAACTAAAATTTTTGTTATTAGCTTTTACAATGGGGCGTAAAATTTCTGCTTACCATTGTGTCAAATAAAGAAAACGAAAGAATGATGCAGCCATAAAGAAAGCTTGTGAAGCAAGGTGAATATGCTTATAACATTTCGCTTTATTTTTAAAGCCTTTAAAATGCCATTAATTGATAAAAAAACATGTTATGAAAGTTATTCATCATTAAATTTCCTACAAGTTTTGCATAAATCTTTTTTTTACTAAATAAATACTTTTATAATGCTATTCAAATAAGAATAGTAAAGCCTATGACCTCCATCTGTCAAATGTCGCTTGAAAGTACAGTTTGCAAAAAAACTTGGAATACTTTTTTAGCACTCAGCTAATTCTAAAATAAAAATCAAACATTTTTAAACAAACAATAACAAATATTGATAGTTAATATTGGTTGATATTTTTTTTCATTTATTGAGCTTTGGCTATGAATGGTTCATAACCTAAATCGTCAACTAAATGTCACTTTATGTTCCGTTCAGAAACTCGATTTAATACTTTCGTTTACATATAGGATGCATGTTAGTATGTGACCTGCATGATTATTCATAACTACTCCGGTGGTAATGCAGAGATGAGCGGAATTGAAGAGCTAGATTCTAATTTATGTTTTTGCTCACACAGTCTTAATAAAGTATTATTAATAATCGGTTGTGTTTTCTCTCAATCTTAGTAAATTAATTTTATTAAAAAATCTGATGTTTTTTCTCACTTAATCTAAGTAAATAAGTTTGATTAAATAGAATTTTTTTTTGCTCACTCTACCTATTTGGCTTGAATTGACAGCTATGACGTCAAAATATGGCACCCAGTCGGTCCTATTCTTAGTTGAATCGCATTATAAAGTTATGAGTCGTTAACGTAGCAATAACGCAGTATATCAGAGTTTTGTATACGTGCAATTGATTCTCATCACTAATTTTATTTATAATATTTATAATTTTTTTTCACTATTTTTTTATTACATTTTTTTACAATTAATTGATAACAATCCAACACAAATCATCATCAGCTTCAATTTGTATGAAAGTAAGTGAATTTTTCGGATTCAATCTACACTTATGTCTGTAAAAAAAAAGCTAGAGTACGGTAAAATGTTGCATTTCGATCAAGTATAACAAGTATAAGTTCGTGGGCGGCCAAAGTACATATTGGCCCAACATAATAATATATTTAGAATAGAAATTCACAGTCCTATTTATTTTATGTGGAAACAAAATTTTAATGGCAACCCCGAAAATACTGAAACTATACCGACCATAAGTTCAATGAATTCGATTGCAACGGCAACTGTAAGTTTTTCATATTATTATTGGAAGTAGACAATGAAAAAAGAAATTAAATTTATAACAATAAATTTATAATTATTTAAATTTATAATAATAAATTAATTTATATAGCAAAAAATGCTGTTGGATTGGAAATCGAAGCCGAGGAACAAAGGGAAGCGTCAAACTTAAACTCAAAAATGTAAATATTTTATCTGTTTTATACTGACTTAATGGGTATTTCACTACTACACTAGGTACATAGTTTACAATGTTAGCAGTTTGGTTTTTTGTTTTAAACTCAAACTAATGGGATGCATTTTTAGAGCAAAAAAAGTTTATTTTTAATATTTTATAATAGACTTCTTTGCTCCACAAGTTCAATTGACAGTAACTTGCTGATTTACGTACCATATCTGTGTCTGGATTGGAAATATATTTCCAGTATTGCCTATATCTGTTTATTAAATGAACTATGAAGGCAAAGACAAAACTACACTTAGTACAGTTTTACTGAGATATTTGATTATTACCAAACATCAATCATCATTAAAAAAGTTAACACTAAAAACACAAGCAAATAAAATATTATTTCTCATTGCCACTCGAAAAAGGGATTTCATTCAGCGATAACAGTGAACAAACTTTTCATTTAATTACTGAGTGAATAAAAAAAATTTGAACAAACAGAAGTTATGCAAAGCATACATATAAAGTTACAATAATTAGTAATAATCATAATTAATCTTTATTGTCATTTCCAAAACACAACCAATGGGTACTATAAATATATTATTTATTTTCTCACAATAGTAAAAAAACTTAATCCTTGTATCCTTTGCTCCACTCAGGATTCCTATCTAGAATCGTTCGTTGCTACAGTAGGGATCCATCTTAGCACTTCAAATTTATTTTATTTTATAATGGCATTTATTTTATAATCAATAATTGCATATTAAAGTGTCAATTTGGTAAAGCGCGCTATACTGAACATCGCCGCGTCGATGTCTCGCTCGTGCGACTCGGACACGCTCGCGGCCGTATTTACCTAAACAAGAGAGGCGCAATTTTGTAAAAGGGCTCTTAAGGAATGAAAAGGACAGACTGGTGTCATGTTTTAAAATAGCAAATACGAATAGTCAAGTGAAGTGCCGGCATTAGGAAGAAAGAGTGTTTTGTTTGCAGCGCCGTCATAGATTATACACATTAAATGGTATTTATTGTCTCAGATTATTTTTTAACTTTTTAATTTAGCTTACTTAACTGGAAGTGTCCGTCACAATCTAAATACTGATAATTATCGCAAAAAATATACTAAGAATTATCATAAATGCCAAATTGGTGTTGGTTCTTAGGCCAATTTTAATATTGTCCTTTTTAGACCGAATACGTTGCTACGACAACAGAGAAAACTGCTCATTTTATGCGCCAAACAAGTGTTCGGAAATTCCTGATTAATCTTCGATAGTACGAGTAAGTCGATTAATCAGGAATTTACACTCGAGAGCAATGAATCCGGGTCACTTACATTATCCGAAAAATCTCGCAAACTAAGAATGCTTAATGAAATAAATTCTAATTAATAGACAATTAAATACTCCTTAAATGAGATATTTACACTTCTTAGTTATTATTAAGTTACTTATATCATTAAAAAAACTATTTTGAAAAAGGGAGACTTTCAAAGATGGAACTACGAAATTACTGCATTTGTTTTTGCTTTTGTTTTTAATCTTTCATTGATCATTCATATAAACCATGTCGATAGTGTTTAATATTAGTTATTCAAGCTTGAATCATGTTGCTTACACCAGAAGAATGCACCAGAATTCTCACAATGCTGGAAACCGGCCGGAGTCAGCGCGATACGGCCAGGACTGCGGTGTGTCACTGTCAACAGTACAAAGAGTTCTCCGACATTACGAGGACTGGTTCTAACCTACGTAAACCAGGAACGGGGAGAACCAGGTATACCACAGCACGAGAAGATCGATACTTGGTGAACACCATGCTTCGAAATCGCTTTCTCACAGGAAACTGGAGCGTGGGCATCGTATTTCAATTGTATTTCAAGACTAAAATATGCCCAGGACCACTTAAATTGGACTAATGAAGATTGGTCAAAAGTTATGTTCTCTAACAAATCAAAATGTATGCTCTACAAGCACGATGGAAGACACAGAGTCTATATAAGACCTTTTTTTTTTTTAATACGCAGGTAAAAAATCTATTTACAGACGACGGCGCCTTTAAGAGGCACACCGCCGAACGGACCTCACACCTGGCTCCCGCAAGTCTTACGAACCCCACAGTGGCTGCCCACCGAGGACCCCGCAACTCTTATGGGCGCTTTACGGTATAATATCCGCTAAAAAAGTCCTGCGAATACCCTCTAAGCTGCTTAGTGCGAAACCGCGGGATCCCCGTTTAGGGATTCTTCCGCGTGGGAAAGATTCAAGCAAGCATTCATCGAAGAAAAAGAGCCTAGGGCAGTGGGTGTGTACTTGTGTGGGCCGGAATTTCTTCTGAGAGTCGCACAGAACTGGTGTTCATAGAAAATGGGTCTTTAACTAATAAAAGATGTGTGAGAAATATTGAATAAACACGTTGGACGTTGAACTTTGACCACGATTAGGTTTCAAGGTCTGATAATGAAGCCGGAAGATAGGCACAGGCTTGTGAATGCGAGTATGGGATTCATCTCGGTCATCGTCTGGCCGCACTTTAGACGCGACCAAAATGAAGAAAGAAGACGCGAAATGTATGAAACCGACATACCGTCCATCAAAGTTAATTCGGGGTCGAATTTACTTTGTCCATTGGAAACGAGGGTGAGCACCTAATTCAGCCTATAGGCATCCAGCTCCCGGCCAAGTATAGCTACGGTACGGTGGAAATGCGCATGCTCCCAGTGATTTTAAGTAGGGCATCTTCCGTGCACAAGATGCAAGGCTGTACGGTAGACCACGCAGTGGTGTACTTAGGGTCCCGTACTTTTGCGGGTGGACAGGCGTATGTCAAGATATTAGTAATGCGATATTCATCATTATAATTAATAGAATATCAAAGGGAATATTAGTCGTGCTGCAACTCCAGTTAGTGGAGAACCGATCCGTGTAACCTGCTTCCCGTAACATCGCTTAACTTGATTTCTCAGCAAGTTTCACAAAAAGGCTTTCCTGTTCCAGCGCCCCACGCTTTTAAAATCAAATATTTTAATTAAAAGCACCCAATAACACTTCAGCCCAGAAATAGAGACAACTTGAAGGATCCATAATTTATTTTTGGTTTTACGTGCATTTATTTTTCTTCGGCGCTACACTCTTGACAGAGTGGTCGTGGTAGTCACATCAGGGTTGGTGGCGCGCTTTACAACACGCCGCCATTCGTCGCGCAGTGCGGCCTTTCTCGTGTACTCGTGAAGTGGACCGTTCAGTGCCGCTTTTATCTGGTCAGTCCAGCACATTGGTGATCTACCGCGCGCCCTTACGCCCTCGACTTTGCCCTGCACCACCAGTCGTTCCACTGACGCATCTTCGGCGTGAGATGTGACCAAAGAAAGTTAGAATACGACCTTGTACGATGGAAGAAAGACGTTGTTTGATGGACAGTTCCTGGAGGATGAATGCATTTGTTCGGAATTGTGTCCACTGTATGCCAAGCATTTTCCTCCAGCACCACATTTTTAGAGCGTCTATCTTCTTTCTCTCACTTTCTCGCAAAGTCCACGTCTTAGCACCATTGAGGAATATGGGAAACACTAATGCCCTAACGAGTTGTGTTTTTGTGGCTTTTGTGATGTTCCTGTTTCTCAATTTTTTTTAAGTTTGTCCATAGCTGACCTCGTGATTGCCATGCGCCGATTGACTTCATCTGCACATCCACCGTTGCCCGAAATCAGTGCTCCAAGGTAGACGTGCGACTGAAGGACATCGCAGTTCGCGATTTTAGTGACTTCTGGAGAGTTGTTATTAGCACGATCGACAATCAAAATCTTGGTTTTACTGCGATTTATTCAGTGTATGTATATTTATACGTGCATTTATAAAAGCGTGTTATTCTACTTTTTTTTTAAACTATTAATTTTTTTCTTTATCTATTTCTTTGTAAATAAAATATGGTGACTCATAAATTTTATTACTTTCATTTAAGGAGTAGTTAATTGTCTATTAAACACAAGGTATTTTATTAAGCTAGCATTCTTAGTTTGCGAGATTTTTAGGATTCTTTATGTGACACGGATTCATTGCTCTCGAGTGTAATAAAATTGTTCATTTTTTTTTATAATAATACTAGCAAACCAGTGAACCAAATGTTCACCAAAAAAAAATGTATTTAATTAATTGAGAACTTCGGAGATTTTGTGTGGTTTCGTTTGAAATAGAAATCACGTGATTTCTCGAAACCCGGAAGTGCTACGTTACTCACATCCGGTTTGTAGTCTTATCAGACTATTCTTAACTTATAACTTAAACATTCTCTATATCTATCTCTTACGGTTTGCCCTCTGAAACAGCACCACGGACGGACGGACGGACTTGTCTAATAGATAAGAGATTAAATGGTATAGTTCATCATTTATATAATAAGAATGAGAGGTCTATTCGGAAAGTGCAAACAAAACCGTCGTGATTTGCGGCTCGGATTCCCGAAATGGATATTTAAGAAGTTGTGGTTTTATTATAAAGAAGATGTGATATGATTGTGATTGCGAATTTCTAAGTACCCGTGTACCCTCCATAGAAAAAATAATAATTTCATGTAGATACACTAAAATATATTTTTTAAAGAAATCTACGACCTATGCACTAATGAATGCTTAATATTAACACTAATTTGTTTAGCAACGTAGATTTACAAGGATCGATCACGGCATTAGCGCCGGTTCACCGTCCGTGACATATCACGCGACGATCTAATTCAACAAGGGGTGTATCGCATGCCGCTCAACTTAATTTTCGAATTGTGAACTATGTATCTGCACTACATAGTTACACCTAATTGCAGCTAAAATGAATACAAACTTGGCCCCTGGGAAAAAGAATTACTACATGTATAAAGACACTCAAAAAATACTTCAAAGCATTACTTATTTGTGCTCACCAATAAAAACTAAGGTATCTCCATATTGAAAAAAAAACAATCAACACCTTTTAAGTATTTAATCTACTATATAAAAATATGTCGGGTTTTCCTTCCTGACGCTATAACTCCAGAACGCACGAACCGATTTCCACGGTTTTGCTTTCGTTGGAAAGGTCTCGGGCTTCGTGAGGTTTATAGCAAAGAAAGTTCAGGAAAAATTAAAAAAAAAAACTTCTTTTAATCACCAAACGAAATGTTACATAAAACGGAGCCATCTGGTGGCGACGGAGTTCGTCGGGTTTGCTAGTAGCTTATATAAGCATAGTAACTCATGATAGGGTCTCTACAGTCCTGGACAGTTTCATGCGACACGAAAATAAGCCGACTGTGACTTAAGTTGCATACGGGGATGCAATATCAATAAAAAAAACGATGAGCAGGCAGGTCGGGCGGCTGCCGCAACTGTCGGACCACAGGCGCCAGCACTTTGAGCAGCTCTTGCTGATAGAAGACTATGAGTAATACCTAGGGTGTAAAATTGTTTCTCATAAAACCTTACACTAACTTTTCTCATGAAACCTTACACTTACTTGTACTCATCAGGCAGGTCGGGCGGCTGCCGCAACTGTCGGACCACAGGCGCCAGCACTTTCAGCAGCTGTTGCTGATAGAAGAATGTGTGTAATACCTAGGGTGTAAAAGGGTTTCTCATAAAACCTTACACTCACTTGTACTCATCAGGCAAGTCGGGCGGCTGCCGCAACTGTCGGACCACAGGCGCCAGCACTTTGAGCAGCTGCTGCTTGAGGTTCCCGGCGGCGAGGCGGTCCGCGCCTCCGATGCCACTCAGGGCGCCCTCCACGCGTTCACCCAACCATCGCACACGGGGCAGTATGAACACCTAGTCACACGAGTTTGGAATATTAAAACCATATCAGCTTTTATGCTGACGACTCCTAGCGCCGGATTAATAGATCGCTCTCAATCCTCTCAAAGCCGGGCTGCAGAGCAGCTTCAAGAAGCAGCACAGCAAACTCCGACATGATTGTTTGTGGTAGATCAGCCTGTCTAAGCCCGTATGTATGGACCGGGCGAGAAATGGTAAAGAGCTCATGTTGAATTGGTGGAAAGCCCTAGTTCATATATGGTGAGGACGGAAGATGGAGAGCTGCCCCGCCGGCATGCTGATCAGCTGCTTGCTCGGACTTGTCAAGGACAAACCTCACAGAATTCTACTCTACGGCAGTTGGCTCGCAGCTTAAGTATTGTGGAAGGCATTCACAGTAAAAGAAGATACCTAGATATTCACAGCTCATGGTAAAATGAGGATTGAATAAAATAAAAAGAACAATAATTACAGCTGATTTTGAAAAATGGAAATAGTGTCTAGTTCTGTCTTCTTGTTCTACCTTTATAACTTCGGATCCCAGTTCTGCTAATCCTTGTACAGCGCCATACAGTGATGCTAAAGGTGTTTTCTCAGATTCCTTCATGCTAGCCATGGAAGGCCCTACTCCACTTTCGTTATTAGTTTGCGATGGACACTGAAGCGCTTTGGCAAATAATCTAAAACAAATGGTAACTTTTATTTTTTATTCTCCTAATGAAGCCACATAATGATTTAACCTTATAAATTTTACCTAGTCACCCTTGTTTGTAAATTATTTGTAGACGTGTTGAATGTTTTGCATATTTGGGCCATTAGACGAGCGGCAAAATCCCTTAGCGCCCAGTGGTTATCCATTTCGGGCCTCAGGCAAAGTTGTCGAGACACAATACACGTTGAGACAGCCGGTATCAATTCATGTAACTGTTCAAAAGGTACAATTAAGAATACTGAAAAAGAAAATACAATAAGAAATATCATTTCAAAATGACTTGTAATACTCACATATTTTTCAAGATATAAGGATTGATTGTCAAGTAACGCTTTCACCATTCTCATGAGGTAAATCAATAGTGCCAAATTGTTTTGGACTACATTTACTTTGACACCTTCAGATATAAATGTACACATTCGTGGCAACATTTCGTGTAAACCAGGATCACAAGCCAGCGATTGTAAAGCTTCCTGTAATTAAATATTTGTTGATACTTTGGAAAATGGTGAGATTAGACATGTCTGTATATGTGTTAATTTGAAAAACTGAAAATATGTACCTACATATTTTATTTTAAGAAGGTAATTTTTTGTAAATATTACATGTTTTTGTTATATACAACAAGGCATATTTACCACACGGCGAATTTCATCGCTGCCCACACAAGTCTCAGTGATTTCTTTGTAGTATAACTGTTGTTCCACACTCAGTTCATGGGTGGCAAGTTGCTTTACATGAACTGATTCAGATGCTTTGAGTCGAGCAGCTTTACCACACATTGGTTTGCCTATTGTATACAACAAATGTAAGCATACAAATGATAGTATACATGTTATTTTATTTGTTGTATCCCTGAGGGTATCAAGGAGTATGATAACACAGTAGTAAGAGCAACTGCTTTACGGTCATGGAAGTTAAGCAACATTAAGAATGGCTGGTCATATGAAGAATAACCAAAAAAAAACATTTCTTCAAAGTCCTCAAGCAACCACTAGATAGCACTGAACCCACATGCTGGGTCATTAATTATCCTCCTTATTTCATCAATTGTTTAGGCCTGTGCCCCATCAGTGGTGACAACAAGAGGCTGATGATGTCCCAGTAGATTGGTGGATGCCAATGACAGGCGATCCAACCAGGACTAATGGCACCTGCTCACAACACTAAATTTCAAATCCATCATCATATGATTTGCCATTGTAAAAAGTTCCTAATGTTCACCGATCACAAACCGAAAGCCTTATCAAAATATAATATTAATGAATTTATGTGGAAATATAATTTCCACTCAATGCTCTTCAACCATACAGCATTGTAAAAATCTTTTAGACATCTTGATGCAGGTGGACCTGCACTCAACAGTTGTTTCATTTATAAAAACAAAAAAGAACTCAATACAGTTCTCAGAACAAAGAATATTCAACAAACTGTTTACCTAAAAATACAACATATTCAGCAAGATCACTTCAGGTAACAACATACAAAAAAAAATTGGACATACCATATACAAACATTGGGTCAATCATTCAACATTATAATTTCTAGAACTTGATTTACCTGCTGCATCTTCATTAGAAGGTTTGCTTAATTTACTGATTGGATCGACCGATTCGAGCTTTTGGGCTTCTTTGCATAATGGAGGAGGATTTTCTGGAACAGTAGGCTGTACTCCATCTACACTCAACCAATGTGCCCTTACTGAGACACCTAATGGTACCTTGGGGGGAGGTGCTGATAGTATCTCTGATAAATCTATCTCTTTCTCTTCAACAAAATGAAGTTCTCGTCCACCACCAGATGCAAACCTGAATGGGAGTGAATCTGATTGGATGAAACCATATTGTGCCTGAAAGTGATTATGAGTAGGATGATAACATTGTTAAAAAAACATTGTAATCTTCGAAAAATAGAAAATTTGAGTACCTCAATATTTTTCATGTTAAGGGCATGATCAATATCAGTAATAGACAGTTTTTGCCTTTTTGAATGATGCATAAATTTCATTGCATCTTGAACGATTACTTTGAGGCGATAGGATACATCATCAGCCAACTCTTTGGCGGCGTCATCACCAAGATTTGCAATACCAACACTTTCTGCAATAACTTTCATAGAATCGAGAGATAGTGATGAACCGTAAGCAAACTCAGAGTCACTCATTTTGTATTGCAATTAATGTTCTTCAATTCGGTAAATACCGCAATGCAATACTTTTAATGACAATGAATTAAAGACATTATTGTATTAAATTCGTATTTAAGTGGTTCAGAATAAGTAGTTTGTTTTTACGTAGCAAACATTAAATCTCCACAATTAAAAATTAAAAATAACACAAGATTTAAATAGAGGCACAGATTACTAAGATTATGTCTACATACAGAAACAAATGTCATATTTGACACAAACTTAATACATTCTACAAAAATTCAAACGTCAGGTTAAAAAGTTGCACTCATGGCGAAGTTTTGGAACGTAGCCCTATGCTCAACGCTCTATGGCGAGGAAAGAGATTTCATGCCCTTACGACAAAACCTACAAGATAGAAAGAGATGCTAAATGATATCCTTTTGGTCCAATAAATTTTCTGGAAGCACTCGAGGGTAACCGAGGGCACCAGTAGCATCCTGTCAAAGTATACTGTGTTTAAATGACTGACGAAATCTATATTATTGAACAAAGGAAAGCACTTTAGTTTTAGAAATGGTAATTAATGGTATTGATTCTGGCAATTTTCTCTAAACCTAAACTTGACAACAGTGGTGTCGATTCTGGCATAATTCTCTAAACCTAACCTAACAACTTATACTACGCCCCATAGATTTGATACTTTTGTAATATTATTCAAATGTGAACTTGGTTTTTATCATCTAACCTGTCTTTGATTCAAATGGGTCCAAATGTACGAAGCATAGTGGACAAGATATTAGTAATGGAGATTGAAAATACAGAAGTGGGTATATATTATGTGTCATTGGTTCATCAAAAAGTTATTTTTTTTACGAGAAAACTATTAGCAGTGGTGAGAGTAAATATAAGTTTCATTGTAGCTATGAACAGCGGTCTTCGCGAGAGCGCGAAATGGGAGTATTATTTGGGTGAAGAAGCATTTCAGGCAATAATTCCACAAGAATGAAAATTTGAAAACTAGAATTTTGCCTATGGTGGCAATCTGTGCAGATGACGATGATTCAGCTTCCAGTGAATCCTATGAGGCAGGCAGCAACTTGATCACGCAGGAACATTCATTTTAGTTAGATTATTTGGACTCTGAATAATAATAATAATATATTGACTCAAGTTCTTTCTCTTTATTTCCCACCTTAAGTACAGTTTGTCTATAAAGTCGTGACATCAATGTTTAAACAAAACGTCTTTGCATAATCTCATTCATCAATACAAAAAGGAAGGCAATAATATAAATAATGCTGGTGATTTTATTGACTATTGTTCTACTAAAATAACTATAGAAGATTGTCACAAAGCAGAAGAAGCGACAGTTTGTCAAGCTAGTTCACCATTATGGCATGAGTTAAGGTATTGTAGAATAACCGCGTCTAAAGTTCACAAAGCTGCACATTGCAAGACTCCTGATGGTGCTTTGATTGAACAAATATTTGGTGCCTCTGTACCGGAGACTCTGGCTATGAAAAGAGGCAAACGATTGGAATCCGATGTCAGAGCAGAGGTAGCCAAAACAAGGAAAATAGTTATCGAGAATGGTGGTTTATTTTTAAAACCCGATTAGCCTCATTTAGGTGCTACTCCAGATGGATTGACAAGTGACTACGTAATAGAGATAAAATGTCCTTCGACAAAAAAAGGAAAGGAAAATTTTGTAAAGAATAAATAATGTTCTGTGCAGTAAATCTAAAGCTCAAATTCAGATACAAATGTTTTTATGCAATAAAGCCAAAGGATTGTTTTGTGTAGCTAATGAAAATTTTGAAAGCAATAAGGAAGTAGAAATATTACAAGAAGATTATGATAAAGACTATTGTAATGATCTTTTAGAGAAGTCCACGCATTTTTGGAAAACATCAGTGTTTCCAAAACTGGTTGAGACTTAAATTACTCTCCTATTAATAATATGGCATGTACTTTTGATCATGCAAGATTAAGTCGAAATAAAACCTCTATAAAAGAAATAAAAGTATTTTAATTTTTACACTTGATTACTAAATAGACAGTCCTGTAAATTAACTAAGCCACAGGCTATTAATACAATATCATCCAAAAAATGTATGTACGAAATATCGACACAAGCGTGAGGTCCGATCATTTTAAAGTCTCTCAACTTCCCTATGGTTCTTTCAACGTGAACCCTTATAGCAGCGATTCTCTTCGTTTGTAGGACTTCCTCCGCTGTAGGTTTGGAGTTGGAACTCACACTAGGCGGCCTCAGGAGCGTGCAACTACGTTGTTCCAGAAAGTGGGAAATATTTTTGAAGCCCCTGTCAGCTAACACAATACTTCCTTGTGGCAATTTTTCAAGAAATCCGCTGTTTTCAAATATTGTTGAGTCTGGGGTCCTCCTTCCATATCCCTCAGAGATAAAATTTATCAAGCCATCAGGTGTAATAGAAACCAAGTACTTAATGGTATTACAGCTTTTATATTGAGACCACGTAAGCGCTTGGTGCGAAGCGTTGCTTGGTTTCTCAATTTGAATTTCGAAACAATCTATTATTGAAATCGATTTAGAATAGCGCTTCCTAAAAGCTATCGGCAAGTTTTCCCTCACATGATCCGTTGATGGCCAGATAATAAGCTGATTCAGGCAGAATGCAACTTTGGGGAGAGTTTTTTTAAAATCTTTAGTCACTGAACTCTCAGAGAGGCCAAAATGTATTGCAAGCATTGAGTTTGGTTCATGCCAACGTATTTTTCGTAAAGTCACTAGTATTTGAATAGGTGATATTCCCGTGAAGTCTTGTAAATGTTGAATGCAAAAATATGAATGGGCAGGAATGCCTATCAGTAACTTTGGCTTTCGAGATAAAGCCATTAAAGCGCCTTTTTGCATAAGTTCATTGCAGTATTTTTTATTCAACGTGTTTGTAATTCCTAAATCACTGTTTGACTCATTATCACTAGCATTAAAACTAGAAGAACAAGTAATGATACTTGAGTTTGAGTTGCTGATCGAAAAGCTATCGTCTGGGTCGAGATTTATAGGGTTTGCTATATTTTTAACCATCTGTTGTTTCCATTTGGCTGGCGTATTATTAGATTTGGTTTTCATTTTTGGTTTTATATTAACCTGCACTGCTTGTGTTGTTTTACCCCTTTCATTGTTTTCCGGTAATACGTCTATTTCTTGAGGTATGTTAAGAGGGTCGCTGTTTAGGATGATATTTAAGTCTTGATTCTCACACTCTACTACTTCAATGGAATGCAATAACAGGTCTTCGTGTCCAATATCTTTACTTAAAACTCTTTCAAAATATTCTATATCTTGTCTTTTCTTAAAACCCATTCTGTCAATTTTCTTTTCTTGATGCTTTTGACATTCAAACTTATGAGGCAAGACTCCCTTCTTCAGTTTCAGCCTTCCTCCAACCAACTTAAACTTTACGTAATTTTCCATATCTTCTTCCAACTGAAATATAAAAAAACATATATTCATTTATTTGCTTGTAACAATAAGGTATTGGCACAGCTGAGGCAGATACATAAATGCACAGCTGTTGTGAAAATGATAATAAAATATTATCATTCATTCTTTGCTTTTTAGCCGAGTACGTCCCTGAGTCATTGTTTTGACCGTGGAATATTACATAGAAATGGGAACGGGCGAATAGGTAGGTACTAAGGTTTATCTACAAAACTCAGAAAAAGTAAGTAGGTATGTTTTTCATAATACAGCAGGCTTAAAATAAGAGAATACACTACACGTAATACAGTGGAACGGCGGACCCCGTCACAGAATACATAATAGTTCAAACCCCGTTAACTTGTTTGTTGTGTCCTGCCAAAGTTCTCACTCAATAAAAACTATTGTTTAATTTTTAGTACCGATACATCTGCGCCCCAAATGTATATTTGCTTCGTTGCAAGTGTAGTTTCATTACTTATTTTACTGTCTACATAGAACATAAGACTCACAGATAGAGGTAAAGAGGCTCCACTGTAGTAGGTACCAACTTATTTCCATATCAAATAAATAATAGGTACAGTTAGATAAAATAGGTACTTACATCGAAGTGATCTTCACAGCAATGTCTCGTAGCCTGGGTAGAGGGTGGAGTTTTATCATCTCTTTTTACAACGGAATACCATTTTTTACGAAGGTTTGTGTCTTTCGGCACGTTAAAAAATAGTTTTTCTGGCGTTTCAATAGAAGTGTTTATGCATTTTGGCACTATACAATATTTATACATCGTTAGAAAGGTGAATTAGACACAAATCGGACACTTAATTTGTTTCAAAGTCAAAATTTACCAAACAAGCACTGCGCGCCTTATCGCTGCTAAGGGCTAACTGGCGGCGACCGTCACAGTGACGTCATAGCTACTGCGGCGGCCGGCCTGTGAAATTCGTTAGTAATTTAGTCATAACTTCGTCAATTTTTGTCGTAGAGTAATAATTTTTGATTTATTAGTTACGGATTTCTTAGCTTTATAAATCTGCATTCTCAACTAAAAACGTTACGGATCCTCATTATGACGAAACTATGCAGAAAGGTATAAAAATTAGTAAAGTTAATCGATGTGGCATGTGGGAAGTGATTTTTAAAGTTTTCCAGCGATATTTCGCGGAGTACCATGCTGGACGAATTTTGTTGGATTTTAATGATGTTTATGGGCGAACAGCATCTATGACGGGTATGTAATCGTGTTACTATTTGTTTATAATCTGTCTGAAGTTGCAACTCAATTTACGATTTTGAGACCAAAAAAGGCATTGTTTACGTTGCAATTTTTTAGGTTAGATTGACATTGTAAGTAGGTAATATTGTAGTACGATCATTTCTTTTGATACGTTAGAATGGTACATCTCAGTCAGATTTTCTATCAATTTTGAATTAATTGCTTCATGTCAATAAGTTATTGTTTCTATACCGTTGCATATTTTTTTACCCTTTTTCAGGAAAATCAGAGAGTACAGTTAGGCGGATAGTAAACAAAGGTTTTAAGAATGATGGAAAGTTTGAAACTCCTGGGAAACACAGGCAAGGCCGACCAAAGAAAGAAATGGATCACTAATTTTACTAACTGCACATTTAGAAATTGTTTCTCTAAATAAACTTTTTCTATACTATAAAATATTTTTTTGTATTATTTTCTTAAGAAGTGTGTTAAAAAAACGTCGTACGATACACGTATGTATTGATGATTACGGTCCTCGGCTCTCTTAAGACCCTCACCTAATGGCTCTGGTAATCACCAACATTACACACTTGTACACTATAATGTACTATTTTATCTATAATAACTTTATTCTGATTCAATTAAATACGCTTGGTAAAACTTTTTATAAGCATAGGTGTATATAAAAAAGAAATAAAATATGACTGTATAGTGTCTTAATAACTTATTTTACTTGAACGAAATGCTAGTTCAAAATCATTTTGGTCAGACTGTATAGGGTTGCTACATTCATAATAGAAGCGCCATCATTTAATGTCACAACTTTATAGACAAACTGTAAGTGTCCGAAAGAAGATCGATCATAAGTGGCTTGAGTACCTACTGGCCCGACCATCGAAGAAAGTCATGCATGACAAATTTAGTC